GGTTAGGGACTCCTTGGCTAAGAGGTAGTGACAGTCATGGGGATGCCAGGCCTCCCACTATAGTGGGAGACCTCCCAGTACCTTGGTGCTTTGCCCGAGGCACCGGTGGGAGGAAATGGGGGTTAAAATAGAACGCTTGCTGGCATCGCAGCGGAAGTGACATAGTGGATGCTCTAGAATTTATAGAAACTCTGTGGTAAACTGTAGATTTTTTATAATTTCTAGAGTGTCATCACTAAAGGTTTTTACCAGAAGTGAAGTCAGCACACTGACGCAATGCCTGTGCGCCAGGCCTCACTCCCCAATTTCTCCCAGGGGTTGCAGGTGTGGCCTGCCCATCCTACATACCACACACACAGTGGAATAGTCAGTCAGCCTTTCCTGCATGAACTGGAGTGCTATTTACTGCTGCAGGGGTGTCATCAGCTCCAAGCACTATGTTTCATAAACCCCCCAATTCAAAGTGAAAAATCTGAAACAGTATAAACCACCACAGTAATTTTCAAAACATTTACCGATATTCTTTACTTAAAAGTTCATCTATTTATCATTTGGATTTTTTAAAACTGTCGTTCATATTTGCAATATTTTTCAAAACAATATAGAACTGTAACAACATTGGGATTTCATGGCCTTACGGTTCCAGTGCATATACTTTTTTTCCTGTGTGGCTTTACAGGTATTTGCCAGGTGAGAATCAATATTTAATGTATTTGATGAAATGTGCCCTAGTCCCTGACAGCTTATGCAGCAATAAATCTATTTATCGTTAAAGGTCCTACAAGACCCCCTGTTTTTGCTGAAACAAACCAAATGGTTCTCTCTCTGTCTCTCTCTGGGACAGGTCAACATTACTTCTCACTTCAACAAGAATGTAGCTGGATATGAGCAGCAGTCTTGGGCTCAGGATACAGCCCGAAGGCCCCTCCATACAGCAATCTTGCGGACGTTAAGCAGGTCTGCATTTAATCAGTCGCTGAATGGGCCAAATCCCTACGTACCCTGCCATGAGCTTCTTAAAAAGAAAGACAGGATATAAACAATAGAGCCTTTTTATTCTAAAAGAGAGAGTTAAATGTGTTTTATATCTCTTGTGCCAAAATCTGCTCTCAGATCTTTAACCTTCTGGCCAAATTCTAAAAAATAACATTTTTGTTTCCCACAATAGTTTCAACAGTAGTATCTTCAGCACAAACACACACAGACCTTAATCTTTCATGTTTACATACTGCTGTTTGCAAAAATTAGGGCTGTGTACACAGTTATTTCTGAGAAGTCACAAGTACAAGCATGCCTGAGGTGTACAGCTCAGCAAGAACAAGTGACAGATTTGTAATTTGTAGCAAACAGTAGATATGAGAATGATGAAGTGGAATCCTCAACATCATGTGTTGCAAATGAAGATTCCCATGTGCAGAATGGGGAAAAAAACAGAATGGGGAAAAAGCACACGGTAGAACAAGTAGCAGAAAAAGGACAAATAGCAAACAAATTAACTAGAGTTTCTAGATTTGCACTAGAAAGCCTGTTACCGGCGTTCACACGTAGAACATCTGCCTTCCTGCCCTAACCGTTGCAAAGCCCTTTAAACCGTTGTACTCTGCCACTAGGTCCCCAAGTGGTGGTATCCTGAGTACAACAGTTGTAATCGCTTTACCCACCATCTGATCGCTCTCCACCGTTGAGAAACAACTTCCATTCGGAAGCCTGAGGCTTCCGATTTTCGCCGGCCATTTTTTTTTTAAGGTCAGCGATATGCGCTTGGGCGAAGCTTCGCCCTGGCGTTTGTTTAAAAAAAAAAAGAAAGAAAAGGGCCTTAGTTTAGCGTTTCGGAGGCGTCCGGGACCTCAGGGAGGCTACTTTGCTCTTTAAACTTTAAAGGTAAGTCCTTACCTTTATCCTGCCAACCTAGCAGTTCGAAAGCAAGAAATTGCAGGTAGATAAATAGGGACCACTTTGGTGGGAAGGTAACAGCGTTCCGTGCGCCTTGGTGTTTAGTCATGCCGGCCACATGACCACGGAAACGTCTTCGGACAGCGCTGGCTCTTCGGCTTTGAAACGGAGATGAGCACCGCAACCCTAGAGTCGGATTCGACTGGCTTTCGAGCAAGGGAACCTTTACCTTTACCTTTACCTTACCTTTAAAGTTTAAATGTAAGACGGGGTTTTTTGCGCATGCACGAAGATCGCCATTCTGTGGATTATGCCTATGTGCATGCTCAAACTGAGTTTAAAAAAACCCCCAAAACCGCCAATGCCCGCTGTGTGTGGACGGGCATACAGCGATGGGATCCACAGACAGGAGGTGAGTGTGATCGCGTTTCAGCCGGCATAAATTGCACCGGTTCCAACAGGTACAGTTTATGCCGGCTGAAACGGCACATTTGAACGCACCCTATGGGTGAAGAAGTACTTCCTTTTATCTGTTCTAACCTGACTGCTCAGCAATTTAATTGAGTGCCCACAAGTTCTTGTATTGTGAGAAAGGGAGAAAAGTACTTTATGAGTTGGTTGTACACTGGAAAGTTTGAGTTCTCTAAGAAATGTGCTAACTACTGTAGATCAAATCCTGTCAGGCAACAAGCATCTGAAAATGGCAGCACTCCCAAAGTAACTCTAATTTCAAGGAGTCCACAGATTCAGGTGAGTAGCTGTGTTGGTCTGAAGCAGGAGAACAATGTTTGAGTCCAGTGGCACCTTTAAGACCAACACAGTTTTATTCAAGGTGTATGCTTTTATGTGCAAGCACACTTCTTCAGATACTGTTTATCAGGGGTCGGTTCGTAGAAAAAGAGCTAGGGGAACTCATTAGCATAACTCATTAGCATATGCCACACCCCCTGACATCACCGGAAGTGTGTCATAAAGCCACACCCCCTGACATTACCGGAAGTGTGTCATAAGGCCACACACCCCACCCCCAAAAGTCCCGGCCGCCGCCGCCCAACTTCTTGCAACAAACCAGAACAAAAGACAAAGGAGCTCAATAATTCAACAAAAAGACTGCTGAAATAACGTGGCCTTATCCAGTCTGTGGAATTTAAAGGAAGCTGTTCACACCTCTTCTGTGTGGTGTCACCATCAAAAGCAATGGAGATCTGGTGGAAGTGAAATGTATCTCTTGAGAAGTAGTTACCTTTAAGGATAGTGCTGGGTTAACCAAAGATGGTGAACAGGTCTATATAGGGAGAGGCAGTTTCTCCAGGGATCACTGTGAATGGCAACTGCAACAATAATCCCCACTCCCCAGAAACAGCTCTGTCCCATTTCCTGCTATGATAAATGGGGAAATGAGAACCAGACTGCACACAGGTGCTTGCAATTGCACACAAATGATCCCAATCCAACTAGTGCAGAAGATCCAGTAATTCAGGTTGCCATCCTCCAGAAGGGACCTGGAATTACAACTGATCTCTAGACTACAGAGATCAGTTCCTCAGGCTTTGCTCCCAAATCTCCAGGGATTTTCCAAGCTGGAGTTTGCAACATTAGGGTCCTGTCCATACGAGGCCTTTTAGGCCGGGAGCGGGACGGAACGGGGGCGGAGCAAATGGGCACGATCCCACGGCAACATCTGGGAATCGTTGCCTGGCCGTCCCTGTTCCGTCCCAAATGCCGATACCGTGCAGCAAAAAAGCACTACCTACCTAGGTGGTTGCATCCCTTGGAGCGGCTCAAGGCGGGCCGTGGGATTGGCCGGCGCGTCCTTGCGCCGCCGCATCTCGGCCCCCAGCCGTACTGCGCATGCTCGAGCATGCGCAGTTCGGCAGCCTCCCCCTCCCATCGGACTCTTGCTCCTTGGCATCTGATCGTGCCGGGGAGCGATGCGTCGCGGCTGAGGGGATCCGTGGGATCCCGCCGCGGCGTCTCAAGTTCGGTACGGCTCTGAGTAGCCGCGTTTCAGCCGTCCCGTGTGGCAGGGACCTAGGTTGAGGTGGCAGGTGTCCATCTCAGTTGGCCTCCCTGCTTTAGTTCCCAACCTGCTGAAAGGGCCCATCTGATTCCACCTTCTGGCCCCAACAGATTTATATTGCTGCTACCAATTTTATTGTTTGTTGTTTTTATTATTTTAATGTGATTTTATTGTAATGTGTCTTTGACTCGATTTGTTGTGATCTGCCCTGAGCCCGTTTGGGGAGGGCAGAATAAAAATCTCAAAATAAATAAATCCCAAAATAAACATTACCAGTGATCATACGAAGCTTCATTTTCTACAGAGACTTTCCTACTCGCTTCAGTGGTGGGAGCAGCTTCATATGCATGACTTCTGTTTGCACAGATCTGCCCCCTCCATTGAGGTAAACAAGGAAGACTCCTGACTTGGAAGCAATATGCATACACACATGGCTCTGGACCAATGCTCCCTCTAAGCTGTGGAGTCTTGTGAGCAAAAATTGTACTTTGTGAGTTGCTGGCATTAAATCTGTGAGTGAGCGATTTGGCTGCTGCCTAAATTAGTTTGCTTTGGAGCCATCCTTCCTGAGTGAAGACAAAAACGGGTGGGCCAGAGGCGAAAAAACTGTGAGCTAACTCACACTAACTCAGCTTAGGGGGAACACTGCTCTGGACCGAGGCTTTTATATGGACTGCCTTATATCAAAAGAGAGCCAATCCTATGTCTGAAAAATAAGGGAGAAAAACTTTTACAGGGATTAAATTCAGCATCTTGCAGATCTGAAAAGATGTTGTTTCTTTAAAGGCTGATGCCAACAAATAATTCATACTCAGTATAGCATGTATTTTAAGGTGTAATTAGCATTAAGGCAGAATATTCCTTTCACTAACAGGAGATTGAATGGAATAGGATGCTGCTTAGGCTCAGCCTCAAGCATGTGTTCCTGTTACTTGAAAAATAACAAATAATCTCAGGTTTTCACATTCAGTTCTAAATGTATTTTTGTTCATTGTGTCAAAGACAAAAAGAAAACAACCGATCATCATTTAAAGGAGATGAAGAAAATAAAACAGGATAGCAATCTTGCAGAAAAAACTGTCCATACCATTTATCATCCCAAGACTGAAGATGGCATTCACCAACGTGCTCCCTTTCCGGAAATGATCTGTCATGTGCTCCAGCCAATTAGCTTCTAGGCTGCAAATGTTCTGGCCATTGCTGAATACTCTCATAGGGATTGTTACAGTGTAGTACTGGCTGGATCTCTGTGAAGCCTTTGGTTTGTTGAAGACAGCAAAGATCTCGGTTTCTGAAAAAAAACACAAAATGCTGAAATAGCAATACCAGAAAGCAGGAAATACAGTGCACTCTTGTTCTCTAGGGTATAGTCTGCAAGCATAAATAAGTAACACATTAATAAACCCTATTAGTTGAGCTTTCTCCATGTATAATTAAAACATTACTGGGTCATTAGAAAAAAATGTGCTTCTCTACCAAGCTTCGGAACAAACAAATCTAAAACAAACCACAAGGCTTTACTGCCAATCGAGTTTTCATGACCATGAAATAAAGCAGGGCACACATTTTTGTAGCCGGGATCCCGTGGATCTGTTCCACTACTGGTGCTTTCCTAAGGTTGCCAGCTTCCAGGTGGGGCCTAGAAACAAAAGTCCCTGGAAATACACCTTCCAAATGACACCCTCCAAAGCAGACATTTTCTCAAAGAAATTTATCTCTGTAGTCTGGAGATCAACTTGTAATTCCGGGAGATCTCCAATCCCCACTTGAAGGCTGGCAATCCTAATCCATCTAAGTGGTGGCTCCAAAATAACAGACATATATAACTCCTTGGAATGGTACTTTACTAAACAAAAACAGCACAGTTCTCTATGCCAGTTTGCAACTCCCAGTTCTTCTCTCTCCTATGCCTCACTTTCTCTGTGTGATAGTTTCTTTTTCTTAAAGTGACAATCACAGGTTTTAGAACATCTCTTTACACAGGACACTATATTCTTCCTTCCCTAAATCCAGAGGTCATTTCGGGGGGGAACGCAGTTCCCCCGGGTGAGGTGCAGGGGGCGGGGCACATGACGAAGCCCCGCCCCCTGCTTCCGGCCGCCCTGCTTCCAGCCCTCATTCAGCCAGGAGGAGGCAGGAGAAGTTGCTTCCTCCCTGCCTCTCCCCACCCCTGCCTGCCTGGGACCAGGGAGGGCCTTCGCGGGGCTTCCTTGCACTCCCGCCGGCCTTGCAGGTCCACCGCCGGGCCCCTGATGTCAGGGGGTGTGGCATATGCTAATGAGGTATGCTAATGAGTCCCCCTAGCTCTTTTTCTACGAAATGACCCCTGCCTAAATCAATTGTTTTTCTGCCTAATGAACAGCGAACAGCTGTATTAGTGATGTGCTATTTCATACAGACTTCACAGTACAAAGTCTCTTCCACTTGCTTGATGCAGGTGGTACACTTTCTCTGCCTACTGTTGTTGCTGCTTCTCCCTCACACAGTCGGATTATTATATATATTTTAATACTATTTCTCTTAAGAAATGATGCAAGCTTCCAGTGCTTGCATAACGTCTTCTCTGTGCTGTGACCATGGGTACCTTAACTTTTGTTATTACCATTGGAGTTGTAATGAAGAGACTAGGTAAGTTTCTAACTCTTTTTTGCTGATTAGGACACTCAGTCTCTATGAAAGATTCTTTAGCATGGTGCCACCGAGCTTCTTATGTTCCAAATTATGTTTAAAATGCAGTATTCCGGTTTTCTCTGTTGGGATTGGCTCCCTAATAATGACTGCCTATTGGTCCTAAAGCCATACAGAACGTCCTATCCTGAGGCTCTTCTTAGGTCCAATCAGACCTCCTGAATCTGGTAACAGTTATGGAATCGTATAAGTTTGAGTGCCGCTCTTTGCAGAGCAGTCCTGAGCTGAGCAATGTTTTGAATAAAGCCTTTTATTTTGACCATTGTATCCTGCCTTGAGGGGGACGGAACGGGGGCGGAGCAAACGGGCGCGATCCCACGGCAACATCTGGAAATCGTTGCCTGCCCGTCCCAGATCCGTCCCAACCTTCGATAATGTGCACTAAAAAGAACCACCTACCTAGGTGTTTGTATCCAGTACAGCACCTCAAGCCGGGCCGTGGGATCGGCCGGCGCGTCCTTGCGCCGGCGCATCCCGGCCCCCAGCCGTACTGCGCATGCTCGAGCATGCGCAGTTCGGTAGCCTCCCCCTCTCATCAGACTCTTCCTCCCCGGCATCTGATCGTGCCGGGGAGCGACGCGACGCGACGAGGGGGATCCGTGGGATCCCGCCGTGGCGTCTCAACTTTGGTGCGGCTCTGATTAGCCGCGGTTCAGTCATCCTTTTCCCTGCCGTGTGGCAGGGACCCTAAAAGAGCTAAACCACAGTTGAAGTTCAGCCACAGACAGATTGGGGGTGGCTATCAACAGGCTAAAAGCACTATCACCATGTCCTTTGAATTGTGGGAAGGCAGGCAAGCCTCTGTGCCCCATATGGGGATCTTCAGACATATCTGGTTGGCCCCTGTGAGAAACAGGATGCAGGAATACACTATTTAGAATATTTATATCTTGCTTTTACTGAAAGAGTAGCATTCTTCTTATGTTATTTTCATGTGTGCAAGTTGCCTTATCTAAATTGATGGACAACTGAAGGAGTTGTGGGAAGTATGAAGCTTACAGGAAAATATGTGGTTCTTTCAGAGAGACAAAAGGTGCTGTAATTAAGGCAAGCACAAAATATTATCAGCCTTACCGGTGAGGTGTTCTTAAACCAATATTCTGGCATAACACATCAGCAAGGATTTTTTAAAATAGGGATTACCCACCCAGTTTTCACCTGTGTTTAGTAGAACTGTCTTCCTTTTTGGAAAAAAATTAAAGCTAATTTTTTTAAAAAAAAAATCCCCACAGAATTGTTTAAAAGCCCCCAAACTGAAAAAAAGAAAGAAAGGAGTTATGAACTTGACCCAACATAATGTTTTAACCAATGCATTGAATTCCTTTTGGGGGAAAAGAAGTGCATGTTCTCATTTGGCCTGCAGTAGCAATAGTGATTGTTTGTTTGTTTGTTTGTTTGTTTGTTTGTTTATTAGAGATTACATCCCACCATACGCCACGAGTGAGCTCAGGGTGGTTACAACATATAAGAAACACAATAACATTAAAGCATATAATCTTAAAAAAAACAAATTTAAATTAAATTTAAAATTTTGAACAGCCACGGATCTGTGCTGAGAGGTAATAATTTATAATTTTAGAATAAAAGCCTGAGTTCTACATGAGAAAACAGTATTCCTATTTCTTCTGAATTGTTTTTCAAAAGCTTTTACATGGATCACAGCACTATAATTAATGGCACTTTCATGAATTCACCCAGCACTACAGCTTCTGGTCAGTACTTGTATGAGTACATACGAACAATAAGAACCAAATGGTGTTTTCAATGTGGGTAGGGAGAGACTTGAGAAGGACAGATGGTCTCATTTGATCTTCCCAAGTAAATTAAAAAACAAAACAGCCCCTTCCACTAGAATTTAGAAGCCAATAAATGAAACAAAAAACTAGTGGGACCAATGTATCAGAACTGATAAAGGCCTCTAAATGATCATATCAGATACCACTCTGCGACATTATCATTTGAAACGTATCATCTTCCACAACAGATAATCAAGGCTAGAAACCATAATCATGGCTTGTCCAAAGAACTGACAAAACACAAATCAAAACACAATAACATTACAAGTGAACTTGGTATCCATTGTCATAATTAGAGTGGCATTTTAAATGTGGATTGTTTTATTTTATCTTTACAACAGCTCTATGAAGAGGCTGTTTTTCTCAAATGAGGAACTGCATTGAAAGATGAGGGCTAGACCCTGGTCATCCAATTAATCCATGATTAAAATTTTCACCCTAGTCCCCCACAGTTCACAGACCTAAGAATCTTCAGCAATCACAGTGGGTGGTCACTCTGTCTTCAAAGATGAATCCAATAATTTGAGAGGTCCTAATGTACTCCGCCATGACCACGTGCCCGACCGTTGGGCCATGCAGTCAGGCCAAACAGCAGAGCTTCGCTTCCAGGAGAACAATAGTCCAGCGGATCCTTGCCCGCACCTATCAGAGGGCCAGGTCTGCGGCCGAGAGCCTATGGGACTCTCGGCCACTGTAAATAGCCTATAGGGCCTTAGTGGGTGTGTTTTAGGTGGTGGGTTTCTGAGCATATAAGCCGGCCTGCGAGCCGGCTTACCTTTGTCTTGTTCCTGCTTAATAAAAGTACTTTGCTGAAATCACTCAACGCTTCTCAGTACTTTTCATATACATAAAACCTAAGCACAGAATTGTTTAAAAGCCCCCAAACTGAAAAGTAAGAAAGAAAAGGGTTGTGAACTTGACCCAACATCCAGGGACTGGGAATGGGAGGATAGATTCAATAAGAAGTACATGCAGCAGCAACACTTGTGTTTCTTAAATGTTCCTCTGCCAAAAATCTCAAATACTTTTTGGATTCAGCAGTATTTACAGAGCACACAACTAATGTGGGAAAGTCTTAAAAAATAAACACAAATGCAGGGTCAGACAGTGTGCACAAAGCCCTCTAGAAATCTTAAAAATCATCAGGTTCTTCATATTCAGATGCTATGAATTCAAAGAAGTAATGCAAAATACATTTTACATAAATGAAGGATGGGTATTAAGACACTTATCTGGCAAAACTATGCGAATACTGAGCCAGGATTTATACAGATCAAGGAGGATTGCTTTATCATTTTGCTGTAATAAAAAACAGGATAAGGGATCTCTCAGCCAGGGACTTTACAATGCAACAAGTACTTGTTAAAATAAAAACCCAAAATTAATTCAACACCAATGGTTATATTCTAAAATTGTTTAGGAAATGAAAAGTCATTTCTGTAAGTTAAGAAGTTCAGAGTATGTTCGTGGACTTCTAAGGAATAACAAAGTTGGGAGATAAAACTCTAAAGATTTCTAATTCTAGAAGAACTCTAAAATAGATAATAAAGCAATATCTGCACTAAACAAATATATTCCTCCCAGCTGACCAAAAATCCATACACTTCTGGAACATGAAACAGCACGCAAAAACAGGGATCTCTTGTAAAAGATATGGCAGACAATGTGAAGAATAGAAGTATTTACCGGTACCTCCGTGCTCACAAGGGAAAAAGGAAGTCACAACTCCCCCCCCCCCATTTCTTGGTCCTTCATCAGTCTCAGACTAATGGGGGGGGATGGCAATACTCATCCAAGAGCCTTTCTC